TTTTTTTTTTTTTTTTTTTTTGAGACAAGGTGTCACTGTGTAGTTTAGGCTGGCCTTGAGGTCACTATGCATTTGAAGTTGGCCTTGAACTTGTGATAGACCTCCTGCCTCAGCCTCCCAGGTCCTGGGATTAGAGGTGTGTACTGCCATGTCTAGCTAATAGGTTCTTTCATTTAGAATAGATAGAAAAAAACAGGGAAGATGCAGAGGGCATGAAAGCAGCGATCCAGTTCCCAGTAATAGCTCAAGATCTTCTATTAGCAGTAATTTAGCTTTGGGTATAGTGTTTTCAGTGTTGGTTACTGATGTGTGGGTTTGTAGATATTTAGTAAATGATTATTTTTCTTCATGTTTATATCACGAAGTGCTTTTACTAGACAATAAACCAACATTTTAATGAAAAAATTTAGTAATTATTTCCTATTTTAGTACACCAGATTTGATTCTTGATAATAAATGTTCTTAAAGCTGAGTAAATTATTTATGATATTTAAATAACAATGCTCACTAAGAAAGTGGAAGAGAGAGGAATTAAATGGGAGAATAATAGTTGTCTCATAGAGTTATATTGAAAATTAAATGAGATAGTTCATTTGAAGTATGTTGTAGAGCCCTATACAGATGTAATGTTAAATAATTCTAAAAATGTAATAATTTAGATGTGAACAGTCTAGGTGATTTTAGGTATTTGATCAGCAAAATACAAATGTTAGATGCTTTGAATTCTGTAGATGATAAATTTAAGCAGTAAATCAAAATTAATAGCCTGGTGAAAAGCAGATAAAGTTTTAAAATTTCATGAGGCATGTTTAGGAGTGTGCAGGTCTTCAGATTGTGAAAATGAATCTGCTAGCATATAGGCAGTTATTCGGTACTGTTTTCAAGAAATAGTTTCGTGGACCAACTTAACACCTTTCTTTTTGCTGTGTCTACATCATTAAATGACAGGTTTAGGAAGCTGACACTAGGTTACAGTGACACTGTGAGTCTTGCTATGGAAGGAAGTCCTTGGAGCTATCTTCAGAAGCAAGCGGCATGGGGACGGTTAAGTACCTTCTGTTTCTAATAAGTAGCTGGGGAAATTATATTAATTTTTAAGTATTTAATTTGATAAGACACATAAATATTGGTGTGATAAAGTTGAGAGAATCCAGTAACCCTTAGAGTTAGAATTAGGTTCAAGTTTTAGTTCTCCAAATTTTCACTTTCACAGTGAA